ACTAACTAACTAACTAACTAACTAACTAACTAACTAACTAACTAACTAACTCACTCACTCACTAACTAACTAACTAACTAACTAACCAACTACCATAAACTCAATATACACACTCTCTTTAAAATGCAGTGTGAGTGTATACATATTACAGCTGTATCAAATGTTCAAGGATGAAGACAAAAACCTACAAGTATACCATTCGATTTAGAATGTATACAATGAAGTAATAATGGGTAGAAGTGCAAAGACTCAAAATTTAGAATTTAGATTACGTGCAAATGGATGTACAAGCGGTCGAACATGCCATTCATCACTCTGCTTTAGCATCAGTAGATTCGAAACATGATAGTAGTGGAAAATCAATGTCAGTGTTAAAACGGTTCATAGCAGTGCGAGGATTGATGGAAGAAGTTCAAAGATCACAAGGTAATGAGCCAGTGTCTTCCCAGCTGACAGCCGAAATGTTGTCGCAAAACTACACGAGGCAACGATTTGGAAAGAAATCAAGAGCGCAACGAGATGCACTTGCATTTTCATCTAATGATTACGAAAACAGTGTGGACACTAATAGGACTATTAAGCGGCGACAGGAGTTTGTAAACATACACAAGGATGAACAGGAGGTTAATGATGCGTATTATAAGGAAATACGAACACTAATGTACAAACGGGAGTCACTGGATAAACCTGTGTGTGATCTTATGAAGAACCGACTTGAGTATCAAGAAAGATTGCGGGCTTTGACGAAGAGAGCTTAAGGGTTGTAGGATCTAGATGATAAGATCTATTAGGCAGACTATGACGATAATATAGCTTACCAGAAACGAAGAAACATTTTTACAAGACCACACCTTTCACAGCTTATGAATTTGACGATCTTGAAAACAAGAGGATGTTTTGATATGTTATGCGTTTTATATCATTCAGTCACTAAGAAAAGAGAGTTTTGAATCATCAGCGAGCTCAAGGATTGAGAAATGGCACATCATCGAAAGACTATGTTGCAGCGGAGCGCAAATGAAGATTAAAATTACAGGAATTTCGATGTCCGTTTAGGTATCTGTGTCAGTTTGATCCGTGTGTATTCTAGCTTATGATGTACTTATGGGGTTGTAAAAGGGAGCAGAGTGACGTTACAAGACTTACGAGATGATCGTAGCGTTGCGGCGCAAAAATCATGTAGCAGCGCGCCATTATCTCTAGATTTAATTTCACGCACTTGTATATACAACAATTCAATTAAGAGAGTGCACTGTCGACATCCAAAGACTTCGAAATAATCTGCATCATGTCGTTCACGAAACATTCTCTCGCATACAGACATGTGTGTCAACATTTGTTGAAATTATATGTAAAGAGACGCGCTCTTTGAATACTTTCGGACTTCATTATTTATGGAAACGGTTCGGAGTGAATGGTTAGAGGGTAGGCTCACACCTACTTACCTCGACGATGCTACTGCTTCAGTTTCAACCTTAAGCTTGCAATCGATAATCGACAGCGCTTCAGTTTGTGCTGAATCTCTCTCAAAGGATGAGCACAAGCTTCAGACAATTAAAGTGTTCAAACAACACCAATCAAAGCGGGAAAAGAAAAAGAAATCTCAACATAGCTTGCATTCAACTGATCTTCAGTGTGGAGAACAGCGAACTTTAGAGAAACAAGAACGTCAGAAGGAACTTATAATGTGGGAAGCAGATGGCAATGAGCTACGCCGAATTGAATTACAATCTCGAAAAAGGAATCGAGATCGAATGCAGATGCTGAAAAAATGGTATGGTCCCGCAAATGCGAGTCCGCAGGCAGAAATGCAGCCAACTTTCGTAGCTACTATGAGTCGAGAGCATAGTGCACAGGAAAATTTACGTCAATTAAGGGTTGGGAAAGCAGTCCGAAGCATGGCAGTCACTACCATTGAAAACAATGAAGATCGCGAAAGAAAACATCTTGAGAATGAATTAAAAAGCCGATTAAAAGATCTAAAAGTCAAGCTTGAGATATTTGAGCAGCAAGTTGATCAGGTGACAATACCAATACGAGCCAAGACCCGAGCACGACATCGACGGGTCTCAAGAGAAGCTGGACACTTGACTCCTCTTTCTAATCGAAGATGGCGCGCTTCATCCGCTGCAATTCCTCCAAATTGGAAAGCTCTGGATGCTAAACAAACACTTAAAACTTCGTCGTCTTCACAAATGCTTCAATCCTCGTTGCGTGCACAAATGGAGATAGAAAAAGCTTACGATGATGCTGAAGTCGAGCAGTTTTTGCTGTGCTATCGAAAGTATGCGAGACACAAGTATGCAGCTGGGAAGTTGCAGGCGACTTGGAGAATGTTTCGACAAAGACGAAAATTTCGGTTATGGCAACAACGACGAAAGCACAATCGTCGAATAATTTTTAAGATTTGGGTCATGATGTATCGCGTGGGTCGTCGTGCTGTGCAGTCACTATTAAGCAAATATCTTAAGGTGTGGCAACTCAATGTAAGCGAGGCACTTCACTTTCGTGAGATGGAGCTCGATCTTTTTCGACATGCTGCAACTCAGTCAAAACATCCACGTCTGATGTCCAATCTTATCTTGACCTCCAATTACGAAGATGACAGAGTTTGTCAACTAACTGCTAAAGGTCTTATAAAAAAAGACCCAGCAACGACTAGAACACCGGCATCTTTCAACACATCTTTGAGTGCAACAATAAATGACGTCCAGCCAAATGTTTTGTGCAAAGGATGCAGGCGAGTGTATTACTTGAGAGCTCAGCATGTTGCTGCTCGAGCAGAAGTGCGCAAAAAGATTGTGTATCACGTTTTTCGACTCTGGAAGCTCGTCTACGAAGAAACTAAGAGGAATAGTCTATATGCACTGCATTGTCTAAAACGTGCAGTGCGAATGGACTTTAGTACAAAACAGCGCTGGCCTATCGAGATTCTGCTCACAGCTTTCAAGATTTGGGCGCAATATGCGAAATTGACTCGGTGCAGACGTCTAGGATTGCCACTACCAGAGTTTGTGCAGTCGAGTGTACACTGGAACTTTCGGCTTCATAATTATCAAAAGCTTCAAGTTCAAAGTATTGAGGCGACTACGAAAGCATCATTTGCGCGGCATCGACGCTATTTTAACCGCTGGTGTGCTTTTACACGCTGTGCGACTCGTATGAAACATGAAATAGCGATGGCTAGCAATTGGTATGAACGAAAATTGCGGTTTAAGTTATTCTATCAGTGGCAAGGAGTCATTACTGACGGGGCTATAATGAAGAAATGCAAGCGAGAAGCATTTCTTCAATTGCATCGCTATGTTTGTTTCAAACGTAAAGTGCGCCCGCTACAGAAAACACTCATCAAGCGGCGGCAAGAATGGCTTGTAAAACGGTTCATACGCAGCTGGAAACACTTGATGTTTCGTGTTTGTTTTAAACGCGAACGAACTCTTTCAAAGTTTGAGAATTGGCACCCGCGGCTATGTCGTGTAATAGATATTTGGAGAGGTGAGCGTAGCTCACATGTATTTTATACGACTTTTAAAGCGTGGACTTTTTTGATCCGTAAGCGCAAAAGCTTCCTCTCATTTCGCTGGATCTGCGCTCGTCAACAGCAAAGATATTTGCTGGGATGTGTTTTAAACGCTTGGAAAACAGTGACATCGAAGAGTGTTGACGGCATTTTAAATGATTTGTTTGCACTGGATGCGTGGGATGTTTATCGTGAAATTTCATTATTTTTCCCGATGGTGAGTTGTCGTCGATCATTAGATACGAACTCTCAGTTTTCTAGCTGTGATCAAGCTTCATCGTTTCAAGATGTAAACAAACGAATCATTGTTACGCCTGAACATGTATTGGAAAATGGTGGTCCCGATTTGTTCGCTTTAAATGTTCAGCATGAATTTGTTTATTCTCAAGACATTCACGCTGCCAATATCTTTAACCAGAACATCATCAAAGACGACAATGAACAAGTTTTGTGGTGGGTGACAGCACTTATGGCTGCAGAATTGAACACTGGATCACGTCTTCCTTCTGATGTTCGACTTGGTCATTGGCATAGCGTATTACGTGACGAGCTATGGCTATATCAGACGCACTTTTGTTTTGCGTCTGACTCGACTTTCGCACCTGCAATTACGCAGTCTCTTGAATTCTTGAACGCAATAAAGACACGTCTAAATGTATCATGGAAAAGTTTTTTACCGCCGTCGCATTCAACTGAATCACTTAAGACAGATTTTTGTCTTCAAGAAAAGAACGACTTGAGTATAACTAGATCAGCGCAAGCTCGTGAAATGGGTGAGTACGAGTCTTATGCAAGGTTTTTGCTCACAACGACACTAGACAATGAGGCCTGTGAAAAGGGAGTCATATCTAGCTTTGCGCATTTAATGTACTCTTCAAATTTCGCAATGGATGACATTCTTCTGCAAGTCAATCGCCTTCAAGCCAAACGCACACGTGCCGAACGCGAGGTGTGGGAACTTTACCAAGACCTTCAGCGTGCTGAGAAGGATTGGAGCAAGCTGTTGGATTTGAAAACAGTTAATCATGTGAGAATGTTGCGACTTTGTTCAGATGGCAGCTACACCGACTTTTTTTTTCGAGTTGAACTCTTTCAGCTAACTTTCGAGGAATTTCTTGCTACGAAGTCCGACGAATGCAAGATCAATCAGCAGATAGCGCTCAATCTCGAAGCAAACAATTTGTTAGTAAAGGCAAAGCAGAGATTGCAAAAGATCGAAAAGAAGGTCGAACGAGCTCAAAGTGAGCTCAACAATAATCAGCGTGCTCATCTTGAGGCAATTTTTGCTTCTGAGCGGACAGTAGAAGAATTTTGCCTGACGCGACAAGCTTTTGAAAATTCGCGGCTCCGAATCGCAATGGTATTGATAAAATACAATGAAGCCAAAGCCGTCCTTGCACGTTTAGAACATGCAAGACAAGTTTTTCAAATTGATCAGCAGGATTCTGTATTAAACAATGTTTGTCCGACAAAAGACCTACCTCATTCTGCGCCAGCACATTCGTTGCAGGAGCAGAAAGAGTTTTTATTGCACGAAAAAAAAGAGTTCGCCAACTTGTATCAAGCTCTTACAAAAGTGAAAGAAGATCACGAAGTTACCAGATTTCAACAGGTTGAGACACGGCCACTACCAAAAAATCTTCGTTACCTTCAGAAAAAAATTGACCTGAAGCTGCACCAGCTATTTCTGCTGCATATGATATGGTCTTGTTGCTGTTGGCTTGCAGAAAATTTGAAAATGATTGCGAGAGACGAAAACAGCGTCGAATGCGAGAAAGACAATAATGATCGCAGCCTGCTTCAGGTTAATAAATGTGAGCTACCAGAGAAGAACACTACGAGATTATGTAGTAAAGTTGCGGCCTTCACTGCTGAGGATCCACTTCGACACGATAGTAGCATCTCAAAGTCGACGCAAGATGTCGAGATGAGTGTTTTTCAATCTGCTGAAGATCTAGCGACTAAAAAGATGGCTGCGGCATATACAGCAAGCACCAAGCTTTTGTTTGTCGATGAATATTGTGTTCTAGAAGCAAACGAGCATGGAGGAGCGAGTCGTACGGATAAAAAAGCTGTTGCGGCAATTCGTGAGCTTAGCACATGCACGGGTGATCTCGAACAGGTTTCTAAGTACACAACAATGTGCGACAAAAATGCTCGGGTAGAGTCTCCTCCTGTGCTTCTGACGATGAAAATCCGACGTAATCGAAAAAAAGAAGAGCTTCAGCAAGCAATGATGCATCGAAGGCTTCACCGCAGAGATCACAAGCTTGACAATAAAAGCGACAGTGAAGATGATTTGGTCTCACAGCCCCAAATGTCTGTATTGCCAGTAATCGATGGCACTGAGCTTTTCTTTGCCAATTTTGTCCTTGGTGATGGTGAAATTCCGTCTTGTCCGTCTTTAGAGTCCCCTAGTTCGTTACAGACAAATACTGCGCGAGATATTGAGGCCATTTGGAAACGTGGAGGTGTAAAGTCAACAAATAATTCAGCTCTAAGCATTAAAAAAGTCTTGGCTCGTCACACAATCAAGGACAAACAGCGACCAGGAAGCCATCGTCAAGAATTAATCATGCGAAAATTTTTACGGTTGCCTGAAGACGATCGAGAAACGCAAATTGCCTTAATTGGTGAAAGCATTGACGTCGCCGCTATGGACTTTTCTTAAAGAGTGATCATCAACACTCGGGTGCATCACTTTCGATACCTAGAAATCAAGAATGCGAATATATGTTGATTGAGCTTGTAGATATTCTTTTTAGTGGATTTAGAAGACATCATCTGATGGATATTGTTACGAGAAACATTTTGGCGCTCGAGTGACGTCCTATCGTACAATCTCATCATTATGACCACCTTGCCAAACGCACTAGAAATGGTCCTTCGCATCGACCGCACATTTCTTCGCTGCTAAGTTGTCATCTTTAGCGAGGAATCTAGCTTATCGATATAGTTTCAGTATATTTCTGTTGGCTGATAAGTTGATCTTCACGAGCCAAGAACGCCACTATAAGAAGATTATTAAGTGAGAGACACGTGACAGAATGACCAAATAACGTAGTCATTTTCTTCACAACTCTCTTCAAAGTCCGTTTGTCTGCTACATCCACCTTGGCTCGAATCACAACCACATCATCGACTTCAAGTGCTTTGTCACAGATGTCGTGAGCTACACCAACATCACATTGGTCAAAGCCCCCAACAACGTCTACGCCTTGGTACTAGATGAAGTCGAGATACACTTTATTTGCTGAGGAACTCGGAGGTCGCACTATGAGTCACTAATTTCCTCGGTGTTGCCAACCGGTATGATATAGTCTCATTCTGCAATCTACAAGGTAACCTTGTGAGGTGGCATCCAGGAGTCGAGCCAATTACAGTGCGAGGGACGGATCGGTGGGGAATGGAGAGGCAACAGCAGCTAGATTCATCATTTTCAAGGGAAGAGGGGAGAACGGAGGACCGGGGGAGGTAGTTTTCTTCTGAATAGTTGACTTGTGGGGTATCCGGCAAATTGAGAAGTATATATCTTCTGAATCAAAGCGTCAGCCACCGGATTATATCTAAAAAGTAGCTTGGCACATTGAAGCTAGTATATCTTGGTCTTGGCGACAAATTCAAAAGATATACACCATTGAAGTCTCCACATCACATCCACGACAAGACTTCATATGTCAAGGCGACAAATATTCGCGTTCAGAAGAAGAATGGACTCAAACTCAGCCAATATGTTTCAGGATTTCATCGTGTGGAAGCAGAGGCTCGAGCAGTGCTATCAAAATACACAAACCTGCCAATGCTATTTACAAGTCATATTCATTCTATGCTGTAATTACGCAGCATGTAGCCTGATCAATATTGTCAGTTCTACGAGTTGACTTCAAATACAAGTCGACAATGTTATATCTTAAGGTGGAATGCATAAACGTTTTCAATAACTTTAAGCACTTTACATTTTGTCGCATTGCAGTCTGTAATGACTGGTCATTAAAAGTGCCGGTATTCATCTAATGCTTGTGCTGAGCGTTAACGCATTGTTCGTTTGCAAAATTCAAAGCGGTATCCTGTGATCTGACCGAATCTTTTTTATCATGCCTAATTAAAACGCCAAGACTGAGCAGTTTCACAACGCTTTAAGGACCACGTATTTATGACCTTCTCTTCTGGCTTCACAGCTACTTTCTCAGAAGACCCTTCCTCGACAGCGTCATCCACATGGCGAACCCCCTGTGCTTTAGAAAGGATTACATTTTTAAGTCTTGAGCCTTCTTGTGGCTTCGAACATGCAGATTTTTGAGTGCTCCTTATTGTGCAAAATGTGACAAGGTCTGAAGTTTGTGAAACTTATTGCAGCTTCTCAAGCCTCAACATACAGATTTTTATGTACCTTTCTCTATTAGCATTTGCCATAACGTCTGCGACCACTTCCTGTCATGTGCCCGCAATTACTTCACGTAATCATACCCAACATTATTTGTGACGTCATCTGCATTCATTCAACGATTTAATACTAACTTATCCCCACCGTTAAAATATCGAGCTGGCCCAAAATGTCAAGGATCAACTGTGATTCACTCAAAGCACTAGTTCTTTTCAGTTGAATCATATGAATATGTTTGGCCTTCGCACCGAACAGAATACGGCAATTTAAGAAAAAAACCAGGAATCGACCGGGTTTTAAGTGTTTATATTCACGTAAATTTTCCAGTCAAGGTCCCACCGCATCTGACTTCTTGTGATATAGCTCTGCGCCATCATCGCGTTGACAAGCGCCCAAAAATGACATTTCACATCGTTTCTATAACTTTCATTCCATGTACACAAAACGTCCGATTTTAGAGCTTCAACTTATTTATTTAATGCGGCTCAATAAAGAGCATGGCGATAAAAAATTGGGCAAGGAGGGGATACCTTATTTTGGACGTGACAGTTCCTTATTAAATTATATACTTGGTAAATCGAAGTTGAGAGTCATGTTGTTCCATGAAACGTTATTTCTCTTTGAATCATAATTATCAGCACTACGTTATTCGTTGAGCAAAGAAAACAGTCTGCAATGAAATATATATCGTCATTAGAAATGGATCGGAAATATAGGCTGTACAAGCATCGTTTTAATGGATAAAAACGGTGAAAACCGCAACCTAAGATTTTCTTAACTACACACGGAGAGAAAAGCTCGACAGATCTGCTCATGATTAAAACATGTGTTGCTATCATCTCAAAACAATGTGTTTTGTTTCCTATGAAGCTAACTATACTAGCAGGAAATGTTTTTTATACGAATTAAAAAATGCAATGTTTGCTGTCGTTCTAAGAAATATAGGAATACACATTAGTGCCACAAATAACAAGGTAAGGTTCTGAGTTACTTCGTAGTACAAGTTTAGTTATCGTCTTTGCAAAACTTTATAAGTCTGATGGGATCCACAATAAACATTTTAATCTGCTACCTAGCCGAACCATAGAGTGAGATTCTCAGCTTAGAAGGTTCAGTAAGAAACGATAAATGTCGTTGTCGCAGTGCACAATAGCCAGAGTGAAAAGCATAGATGGTGATCCTTCCGAAATGATTGACATCAGCATCTTTATGAGTTGGATTAGCTTTGGAACAAATCAAGATGAACTGGATGCCAGGAGCTCTGCCTACAGATTGACAGTCTTACTAAAGGCATTTATAGTGTTACTGTCCGTTATTGTCGCCTATTTTGGAATGCGTGGTCATCAACTGTCACTTCAAAGTCTGCGGCTGTTTGAGTTTTAGACTTTGACGTCCGAATCATCACCAAGTGCTAGCTTATTGATGACACTGTACCGAAACGAAGTGAATATAAGACTTCCATCTTTTGTTGCCGTACACATGAGTTGCTGCATCTTTGGTCCAAACAGCCGAAAAATGTACGTTGTACCGGTGAAAAGAACAGGTTAAAAGTCTGAAGATCACAGTAGAAGGCAAATTGAATGCGGGACTCCATTTAGAGAATCATTTTGCGTTGTCAGCAGCTTTGCGTGATGTTAAGCTAGAAATCAAAGCTCTACGTGGCAACGCCATAGACTTTCGTCTTCTTCGCGATGATGACAACTCTTGAAAAGAATTGACGTGATTGGTTGCCTATTCAAGTCTCCGGAGTTCAAGCCCAACGCAATATTGTACCGTCCGGTCACAAAAGGTAATTAGTTCGTTTTCAGTGATGTTTCTGTTGATGCTACTGGTGCTAAGCTTGCATGGCAATATGAAATAGAGCTCGAGAATAATTTTATAGTTGTGGCAAGCGTATTGTTATTCCAGAAATACGTGAAGGCCGAAGAATTTTACGCAACACGTAAACTTTTGTCGTAGACGCAATTATAGACACTTCACTAGTGAGCATTTGAGTC